CCGAGACAGGCCATCCCAACACTTGGCGGCACACCAGTATCAGCCTTGGCAAGATAAATCTCCCCAGACTTATCCAATGGCTGTGAACATTTAAAACTAACACGAGTGTCATTAAGTGTCCAGTTTTAGGGTCTTACACAGAAACATACAACATGAATCAAACATGCACTTTATTTATTTACACTAAATGTCAAAAATACATCAAATCAGATTGAAGCTAAGGGCATACCAAACTGTCTAACAAATTCACCCTCAAAAGCTAGCTGTTAAAGGGAGGGAACGCAAGCACATAAATACCCCACAACAACATCCCATACTACTGATGTGGGATACCTCACATTAGCATCCCATACTACCAACGTGGGACAAATGGATCGTAATATTTTGTGTTTGGTCTGAGTCTTACAACATTGTTCCTGATCCTATCCTTGCTTTTTTACTACTCATCCACCTAAGCACAATAACTTTTATGTAAAATATATAAATTTATAAAATTTTATTTTATCTTCAAAAAAATTTATTATATATATATTTATATATACATATATAAAATATGTTCAATATTTCATATTTATATAAATTATTATATATAAGTTAAAAAGCAATTTTATTTAGTTCCATTCTTTATTTTAAAGTAATATAAAAAAGGATCCAACCCTAGTTCAATAGGATTTGGCTTGAGATCTCTAGATTCCATTCAAATTGGGTTTCATTTTTCACTAATCGGATTTAATTTGGATGTTTCTGGATTCTACGGTATATGGCCCTATTACAGTCCTATAAGTGCGATTAATGGATGAAGGGTTTGTCTCTTCATCTCTTGATTCCTTGGAAAGACTTCATTGGTAGGGGTCACTAGTTGAAAGGCAATATGCATAGGTGGCTGGGTCCAATTTGATTGTTTGGAACCTTGGAGATTCTACTAACCACTACTGAAAGATAGGATGTTTGAGGAGGGGAAGGGAGCTTTTATATATATATATATATATACATCACCAGATGGGTGGTGATATGGTGTTGGATAGGGTCTACCGGTCCCACATAAATCAATTCTAAAGATGTGCATCTGCTTTAAAGATTGGCTAGATGCTTAAGATAGATTACAAGACAAAGGAGGGCATGACACTACACCTGATGTTTCACCTGAAGCAGATGATCAAAGTCAAGAACAATAGTTGTATAGCATTTTCTTTTCAAATTATTGTAAATTTTGTTTAATTTTATTTAATTTATTTGATATTTTTTTAATAACGTAATTTTTTATCTTCAATTTGTAACTATATTGTATTTTTATATTTTATTAATTTATTCCATTTTCCAATTTTCATATTTAATTCATCCAACCATTGTATGCTTTGTATCATTCAAATTTAAATGAAATAAAATTCCTATTTTCCTATTTTTCTTCCAATTTGTTATTCACTTTTAGTCTTTGCCTCTTTGACTTCTTACTTGGTTAAGTATTTTTTTTTCATTTTTTTGTTAGATTTCTTATTTTTTCAAATAGTTCCCAAAGGAAAGTTAAATATTTTAGTTTTACTTAGCAAAGAAATAAAAAAATAAAAAATGTAAAAAAACAAAAAAACAAAAAAAAACAAGTCTGGCCCAGTTCGGCTCACGCCCAAGGCCTGGCCTATGGCCCAGCCCAGCACGGCCCAGGCCCATGGAATGGCCTGTAGCCCACCCGGTCCAGGCCCGTGGCACGGCACGACATGGGCCTGCACGGGCTTGGGCTGTGCCGTGCCGACCCCCCAAATTATCCCTGGGGAGGGCAGCCCGGCACGACCCGTTTTACACTTCTGAAAATATGGACTGCCCTTTCTTATCCAGTAGAGCATGATCTTTAGTCTGATAGCCAGAAAATGAAACTCACGGCACGGCCCGTTTTATACCTCTAAAAATATGGACTGCCCTTTCTTATCCAGTAGAGCATGATCTTTAGTCTGATAGCCAGAAAATGAAACTCTCTTATGATATATCATGATCTATAAAGCTACTTTTGTGTGTTTGTGGAAGAAAGAAGTAATTTCATTAAAATGAAAGAACAAATACAGCAGCCCCTGTACACAGAGATACTGTACAATGGGATTATTCACAACCCAATCATACAACCCAGAAAAGAAAACATTGTGTTACTGTCAAAAAAATTTGTAGAAGGGACACAGAAAAACTCTTTATGAAGCTGCAGTCAAGAATTATCCCTTGACTCTCCCTACCATAGTTCCTACGTCAGATTCTTTTCTCTCAAAAATATGAGCATTCCTTTCTCTCGAAATACACCGAAAATTAGCAAAAGGAACCAAACCCCACAAAACTTTTCCTTTTGTGCTAAGGCCTGCAACTTCCCAGCTTGATAAAGTACCGATTCAGGAAAGAATCCTTTCCATCCAAAACTATCTAACACCACTGCCCAAATCTGAGAGGAAACAGGGCAAAGGAGAAAATCATGGTTAATAGATTCCCTCGTGTCTCTACACAAAGGACAGTGCAAATCTTCCACTATCATACCCCTTGCCACAAGCTTATCCTTTGTGACACACTTGACCAAAGCAGCAACCCGAACAAAAAAACACAATCTTAGAGGGCACTTTGGGTTTCCAGATCATATTGCTAGGAAATCCCATTGTAAACTTTCTTGCTGGGAAACCCCATTAATGAGCTAAGGAAAAAAGATTTACATGAGAAGCACCCAGATTTGTCCCACTCCCATTGTGATTTTTCTGATAGCTGTAGGGATTGAAAGAAGACAATATTGTAGAGATGTTAAAATCTCATCTCAAAGTCTGTTTTCAAGGAAAGAATTATTTTATGAATATTTTCTTCTTTATCACAAGTATACAGAATATGGCAGAAATATTTCTTTTTCTTTTCATATGGCGTGATTATTAAGATATGCAATTTTCTCTTGTTTGTTTTTGAAACTTAATCTGGTCTTTCTTTTGCGATTTGTCTTCCTACTAAAACCATTACAATTGTGCAGCTCAAATATTTGAACAGAATAGCTACTGTGAAACATGATGGAACTGTAGAAGTTAAAGTTCCAGTGGATGTGAAATCAGAGGATCTTGACCTTCAAACTAATGATGCATGTACTACTGTTCATGATGAACCTCTTGACTCAGCAGACTTTCAGTGTTTACCACCAATGCAAATAGTAATGCTTATTGTTGGTACACGGGGAGATGTTCAACCATTTATTGCCATTGGTAAACGCTTGCAGGTTGTCACCCTATTCTCATTTCCCCCAAGATTTATTGAGTTTACTTATAGGTTACCTATCTCTTTACTCTGGTGGTGTACATTTGTCACAATTGAAGTTTGGAAGTTTAAATTGCCTAAGGGGTGCAACATTTTTATTCCATAATTCTAACAATATGGTGAAGGCATGGTAAAATTGATACCCAATGTCAGTTTGTCAATCTTGAGGATGTTCAAATAACCCAACAACCTTTGGAGGCATGGTAAATCTGAAATTTTTAACATGTATTGCTACATCTAAGGTGGCAGTGCAGACAACTATATAATGAGTGAGTCTTACAGAAGAATAAAAAAAATTAAAGATAAAATTTCGTCAAAATAAAAAAGAAGGTACAATGAAGGTGATAAGAAGGTACAATGAGTCTTACAGAAGAATAAAAAAGAAGGTAAAATTTCTATCTATCTAACACTCCCCAAAATTCACCTGAATTCCATAGTACAAAAAAACCAACAAGACAACGACAACAAGAAACAAAATACTCCGATCATTGAGACAAGCAAAAACCAACCAACCCTAATTTGGGCAAAATAGACTTCAAATCACACTCTCACAACAAACTAACCCCCAAAAGAAAGGCCAAATGGAAACAATAATGCAAGTCCAAGATGGACTGAACAATTCAAAAACACCTTATTCTTTAGGGTTTTCTTGGATGTCATGACCTTCTTGGTCAAGAGCCTGGTCAATTGTTTTTACCATGTTCAGGTCCTGAAAAACACAATGAGAGGGAAAGAAGGCTGCAAAACAATTAGAAGATTTTGTAAGGGAGCTAACAGGTAACGGATTTTTATGCAATTGGGGAACATGAAAAAACAAAACTCAAGGAAAGATTAGGTGTAAGATTTACTTCACCCAACCCTGAAATTCGAGTCTGAGATCCATTTGCTACAGTAATCTTACCTTTCCCAAGAGTTTAACTAACGAGGTAAAGTGGGAAGGCATACTGGTCATATGTGCACTAGCTCCAGAATCAGCAATCCAAGAGCCAGAAGAGGAATGATGGCAAGCAAATGCAATACCTGTTTTAGCAAAAGAAGCGGAAGGATTGCTAGAACCAAAGAGGTAGTTGACCCACTCTTCTCTAGCTGAATCTAGAGGTTCCTGAGCTTGTCCATAACATCAAGGAGTCAGGTGGAGAAGGCTAGATACCAGTAGTTTGACTATCACCACCAACTGCAGCCAAATGAACATTGCCCTTCTTCCTTATTTTAAACTTTTCAGGTTTCAATTGTAGGTCCCACTTCTAACACTTGTCCTTGGTGTGTCTAGGTTTCTTGCAATATTCACACACCACTTCATTAGTCTTCTCACTTGCAACAGACTTGCTTGTACTCAACCTAGGTTTAGAAGACATAAAGGCAGAGTGTTCAATATTAGTGTTTTGCATCATAGCAACCCTCTTGTTCTCTTCTCCTTGCACCAAGGAATATGCCGTAGCTTGTAGCAAGTGAAACAATATCAACACTGAAGATGTGCTGCCTGGTGAAGTCAAACTTAGCATTTAACCCAACCAAGAAGTCGAACAACCTATTCTTTTCCACATATTTTCTATATTTCTCACCATCCTCAGGGTCCTTTCATTCTAGAGCTTCCAAATGATCAATTTCTTCCCAAAGAGATTGTGAAGAGGAGAAGTACATAGCCAAAGTCCTCTCCCCCTAGCGCATGAACTCCAGCACTGTTTTTAACTTGGCAATAGGTGGCTGTCACCCTATCTCAAATATCTTTGGCAGTAGAAAGATGCATGTAATTCCTGGCTATATGCAACTACATTGAGCATACCAACCATGGCATTACCAAAGATTTATCTTGTTCCCACTTGGCAAACTTCGGGTCTTCAGACTTTGGTCTAGTTTCCTTGCCTGTGAGAAATCCTAGCTTACCCTGTCCTCCAATAGTAAGTTTAGTTGATTGGGACCACTGAAGGGAGTTGGTTCCATCAAGTTTCACAATGGTTATCATCCCACTAGTCACATCAACACTTCTAGGAAGAACACTAGAGGTAATCTGAATATCTTTGGGAGGCTCCATAGATTACAGCTTTTGGGAACACCAATCCCCACTCCAAGAACTCTGTCACCACTTCCAGGCACCCTAGCCACAACTGGACCAAAAACAAATATCAACATTCAGGTACAATCACGATTTAGCATTTAAAAAGGGCAAAAAAGGAGCTGGTGGAAAAATAGAAGGAAAGAACAAATCCCCAAAAATTTTCTAGGGCTCAGAAAAATATGAGACCACTCCCCTGTCTTCAGAGAAATTAGAGGTGATCTGAATGGCATAGGTCTCACATATTCAAATAGTTGCAATTAGCCAAGCAAGTAGGAAAGCCCATTTTTGAATTTTTTGGTAATTTCTATTCAAAAAATATAGAAAATGTCCACAATATGCATATCAAAATTCTTCTAAAACAAGGGTGCATCAAACTCTACCAAAACCAAGTTTAGTTGGTGTTGGTTCTACAGACTGTTGATGTCATTTGGTGGCAATGTGACGTCAACAGGCTACCAAGATGATGAAGTTCCTCAGCAAAGAACCTTTAGACCTCCCTTCTCTGATACCAAGATATAAAACTTGAGCTCTGATACCAAGATGTTCGTATGTGTGGGGTGTGTTACTGTTCACTCTCATAAAGAAAAATTTATATTAGGTGTAGGGGTGGATTTGGGTTGAGCCGAGCTGAATATCTGACTATTCAACCTCAGCTCACCAAGATGAGGCCCGAGCTCGAGCTTGAGCTTGATTCGAGATAGAGACTTGAGCTCGAATTCAGCTCAGATCAGAAGCTCATATGTTCAAGTTCGGCTCAACTCGAGCTTGAACGTGAGCCAAGCTTCCTATAAAAAGTAAAAAATATACATATAAAAATTATTTTTTATTTTACATACACATATTTAAGAATTATAAAAATTATTTATTATCATGCATATAGTAAAAATGATTTATTAATATATATATATATATATATATATATATATATATATATATATATACGTGTAAAAAATTATATATTGGGCCTATATATGTATGTAGCTCGTAAAAAGCTCGAGTAATTTCCACCCTTAATTAGGTGAACAATTTATGTATATACCCTTAGCTATGGGTGCCCAAATACAAATAGATGAAAAAGGCAAATAAGCCCTTACAAACAAAACATATTCTCAACAATAAGGAACATCCTCAAAGAAAGTAACATATATAGTGACAAACCAAGATTTAGGTTAAGGATTATAGCAACAAAACCCTTTTGATTTTATACATAACTAAAAAAATATGCGTATGGTTGTGTTAGGATTAATTAAACTTAAAATGATAAGGTCCCAAATTCTGAACAAAACAAACACATCCAAAAACCTTAAAGAGGAATTGAAAGAAAATCTTTTTGAGGATACAAAAGTGAGAAAGGTCAAGATTGGAATTCTGTTAATCAAGTAACTAGCAACATCTAAAATATGCCTATTCTATCTGTCAGCTACTCCATTTGTTGAGGAGCATAAGAATAGGTACTTTGGCAAATGATCCCATAGTAAATTGAGTGAGGACCATCTAGTGAAAGTAACAAGTCAAAGTACGAACGTTATCCCAAGAGCACATAAGATAAATCCAAGAAAAATGGAATAATCATCAACATATAACAAGTAATACTTTATATCCCCCATAGCAATAGTTTGATAAGCCCCCAAATATTAGTATGCACAATGTCAAAAGGAGAAATACTTATTTTATTACTTAAAAATAACTTGTGACAATATAAGGCATGCGTAATGGAGGGTATTTTTGTCTTTTCATTTTGATTTTAAAATTCTGTATAGTGAGTTAGGAAACACAAGCCAACTCTACTATTTTATGGAATTCTCTTGCTTTTCCCCTCTTTTTTGTTATCTTTTCTTTTCATATTGCACAAACATTTACTTTAAGTAGTTTTGAAGGATTGGTATTATAGTTGTGTAAGCTTTAGAAAGTTATTAGAAGTTGGTTTTATGATTTATGTTGTATACCATTATTTTAAATTTCATATTGTCTTATTGGTAGGTTGTGTTTCCTAACATCTATAGGTTTGTACTTCTTGCAGTGGCTATTACATCCAAAGAAGGATTAGTAGTAGAAATCAGTGTTTAGAAAACCAGACTAGACCGGTTGGTTGAACCGTGACCTGGGCCCTGATCGGTTTGGTCATACCCCAATAACTGGATTTGCTCGAAACCCATTGGAAATCGGATGACCGGCCGGTTGAACTAGAAAACCGGTGAACTGGTCCCGGTTTCATGAAACCGCCCGAGTCCATACATAAGTGTAATTTTAAAATGTTGTTAACAAGATTTGAACTCAAGACCTCTTATTTTCCTGGATTACTTAATTACCACTTATTCACCTCTTTACTTATGCTAATTAATGACTATTTGTTATACATATTACATTATTATGCACGTATTCTAAAGAAAATGTAAGTTGAAAGGCTTGAACCCTAGTCATTTGTTTTAAAAATTAAGAAGCTTACCATCCATTCACCATATTTAAGTACATTAAAAGTTGTAAAATATATTATATATAGTATTTATATGACCCGTAGTATATGTATATATATGTATCTATGTATGTATATGCCATGTCATCACGGTTCAACCTTTGGTTTGACCCCAGTCGAACCTCTGACCTGTGAACCTCTCCCTTCTCCGGTTCTATGCACGGTCCGGTTCTCTGAACATTGGTAGAAATTGTTATGCTATGATATGTTGCATTATATCTTTGCTGGCATGTGATTGATACCACCTCTCTGTTTGTAGTACACGTATTTATTAAGAAGGATAGCTTGCTAATATATGTAATTAGATTACCATAAGAGTTATTGTTTATATCCTATTGAGGTTGTCCTTTTTTCCAGTTTTTGTTGACATGGAAATTAGCATGCAGGACTATGGTCATCGTGTTAGATTGGCAACTCATGCAAATTTTAAAGAGTTTGTTTTGACTTCTGGGTTGGAATTCTATCCTTTAGGTGGGGATCCAAAAGCTCTTGCTGGCTGTAAGTGTCCTTTACGGTGCCCTTTGGTTTATCTTTTGATTAGCATGGAGGAAATACATTTGATGTTTGTTTTAGTAGAGAAAAGAACTTTTTCTGCTGATTTAACAAAGAAGGCAAAAGAGAAATGAAAAAATTGGAGTAATAGAAAGTAAAAAAGATCATAACATATCGTTCGCACTTAATTTCCTAAAACATATGTGAAATTTATATGTGCTTCCTAAGCATACCTATGGATATCTTAATTTTCCATCTATGCGACCCCTCCCAAGACCGCAAATAGTTGAAATCAACATTGGATAATTGTCTTTTATCCTATGCATATCCCTTTATGTCTCTTGAAAGTGTCTGTAAACCCAATATCTCCGTTGATATATCTGACAATTTCAAAATTTCTTTAAATCATACCTATTTAATGGCTGATTTCCACATCCGAAGTTGGTTATTAAAGTTTGTCATGCTTGATGATGCATTAGGAAGGAAAGATGTTTAACATTGCATTAGCGATTTGGAATAATGCAATTTGGAAAGTGTTAGTGTCGACTGTATAGGGGTAGTTTTGTCAATTTGTTTATCTTTGGTGTGAGGTGTCATTTTTAAGTTAAGTGATGTGTCCCATACTTAAGTAGGGGCAGAACAGACCTTTTGTTTTTCATTAGAAAAGTATAAATACAATTTGGCCGACTAGGGAGAATAGAACTCTCTAGTACGAACCAGTTTTTCCTTCTCTCGACTCTTCTCTTCTCTCTCTATCCTTTTAAGTTTTCTGCTACTGTTATTTCTTACTGAATTGTAGTGCAGGTCTGAACTTTATCATGGTATCAGAGCAATTGTGACAAATTCAGATCTGCCCAGAATTCTCTTTACTGCCATTCAGCCTAGGTTTTTCCAGATTTTTGCATCATCAGTTGGAGATAAGGAAAAGGGCTGAAATGGAGTGATCGTCCTTTCCCTTTGGAGGTTTTCATGCCTTCAGTTGGTGGTTTAGTGGGTGTTTGTGGTGGCTTGTAGGGGACCCTCTAATTGATGGTACGAAGAGGGTTGTTTCGGGTGGTCCCGTGGACAGTCGAGTGCAGGTTGTTTTTGCTGATCTAATAGGTGGGGATTTGTATGGGTGTTTCAGTATGAATCGAGTGGTTGGTGAGTTGCTATGTTGAGATAGTTTTGTGGTGCTGAGAACGAAGAGTATCAACAACTGTTGTTGCTGAAAACCATCACTATAGGTGTTTCCACTAGTGTGTGGTGAGAAGTGAATTAGAAGTGTGATATACAGGTGAAAAAAAGGAGGAAGAAAAAAAATCAGATATGGGAGACAGTAGTGAATACAAATCTAGTGTCATGGTTCCCATTGATTACCTGAATGCTCAGATGACCTCTATCATATTGAATGGGGAAAATTATGTACCTTGGGCGAAATCTGTAGAGATCTTCCTTAGGGCCAAGAAGAAAGTGAAGCATGTAAGAGAAGAAAAACCTCCCACTGATTCTCAGGAGTATAGTGATTGGGAACAAGAAGATGCACAGATTATGACCTGGTTGTGGAATAGTATGGAACCCAAGATCAGTGTGAATTTTATGTTTTTAGATATAACCAAGGAGATTTGGGACCATGCCAAGAAGTTGTTCTCGGGACCATGGTTCAAAGTATTGATACACCTCTACGTATTGGCAGAGACGTATCAGTACTTTGAACCATGCAGAAATATGATTTTTTATTTTTTTTGGGGAGTTTAATACCTATATTTTTCATTAGAAAATAGTGGGGTCCCGGAACACCTGTAAACAGGCGTATTGTGACCCAAAAGATACGATTTAAGCCTTGCTCGGGACAAGACAACACTACTAGAGTGTACCAGCTTTATCAGGAATACTTTAATTTGCAACAAGGTAGCCAAAGTCTCGAGGAATACTATGCTAGCATGAGGAACTTTCATAATGAGTTGAATGTGTACCATCCCCTCACTTCCGATGTTAAGATTCAACAACAACAGAGAAAACAACTAAATGTAACCAGATTTTTAGTAGGGCTGAAACCTGAGTATGAACCAGTGAGAGCATAGATACTAGGTGGGTCAGCTCTTTCCTCTCTAGAAGAGGTGTTTGCCCGACTTCGGAGGATTTCTATTGGACCTACAGAGACTTCTAATATCTCGGACAAGTCTACCTTTGCAGTGACGTGAGGGGGATGTTGTGGAGTTAGTGGAGCTCGGGGAGCTCAGCTCAGTCATAGTGGTGGTGGTGGACGTATTGGAGGTCGAGATTCAGGGGGAGTTCGTGGTAGAGGACAAAGTAATGGTTTGAGGAGGTGTACACATTGTGGTATGGAAGGGCACACCATCAATTTTTGTTATGATTTGCGTGACCCTCCTTCAACTTGGGCAAATCATGCAGTGGCCAATGATGGTAGTTCTAAATAGGAGAGTCAACAAGCTGATCAAATGCCTTCTACATCTACGGATGTTTCTGGGAAGGAGATGATGAGTGTCCCACATAATGAGTATGAGCGGTTTATTTAGGCCACGTCTCAACAGAATACAGCTACCCTCGCACACTCAGGTTTGCCGTGTCTAGCATCCAAACCCAACCCTTGGATTATTGACTTTGGAGCTTCCGATCACATGACTAGGACTCCAAGTGTGTTTTCCTCCCTTTCTCAATGCTCCACATCACACTCTGCTACCCTTGCTAATTGTTCCACATCTTCCATTTGTGGTGTTGGAAATGTTCACATAAATTCTTTATCCCTATCCTCAATTTTGTATGTTCCCAAATTTCCTTTTAACCTTATGTCTGTTAGTAAGTTGACCAAGTCTCTTAATTGCTCTATCACTTTTTACCCTTGTGTTTTTCAGGATCTCAAGATGGGGATGAAGATTGGTGGAGGACATGAAGCTGCTGGACTATATTATCTTGACGGTGGTGGTGGTTTGTCAACATCTCTTCATACTAAAAGAATGATAGGATCCATCGTATGGACGCCAAAAAGGTTGCGGAATGGGTGGGCGAATTTCAAAAATTTTCCTACCTTCTTCCAACTAGGAACCATATTCCCTAAATTTAGAATACAGTATTCAAGGATCCTACTTGAACCATAATCGAACCAGATCTAAATCAAAGACAAGGGGGGGATTATACCTGATCCAGAGAAGTAGTATCTCCCAAAGTTGGTGTTCACGCCCAAAGAGGACACCAAGATCTGCTCCTGCTGAAGATGACACAGCAATAGCTGGAACGGAACCAACAAAGTGCGTCCTACACACTGAATCCTTCGCAAGAACCCTCTGGAAACTCTGAGCACCAAATCTTTTCAGTCTTTTCTGCAAAACTGATGTCAAGAACTGATTTCTTGATTTCTTTCTTCAAAGATTGAATCTTGTCAGAAAGAATGGCGACGGCTGGAGGAGAACTCCTGAAGTGAAGATGGCTGAAATTGCTTCTCTTCTCTCTGGAGTGTGTATGAGTACCAATATCAATTCACAGGATGTTTTCTTGCACAAAACCCTAGGTTCGAAATCTGATGATATTCTCTCTTAGGGTTTCTCCTCTTTTCTTCTTGATTAAGAAACCTCCTAATCCAAATTAGGAGTTATCCCAATCCAAATCAGTATCTGGATAGGGGATGATCTTAATCCTATCTGCAGATTAGGTTAGCTTACTCCTGATGTTATCAGGAGGTTACCAAATTCAAATTTGATTTGAATTTGGTCTCCTAGAGTGGATAAAGTTAAAGGCCCAATCCTTTTGCTAACTTTAATCCCAGATCCGCACTATAGATGGGTGATCATATCAGCCCAACTCGAAATGGGCTTTTGGCCCATTAAATGTTCAGTGCTTAACTAGTTTCCAATCTGCTGCCCAGTTGGGCTTCTTTGTATGGC